GACTTATAGTGGTTATTCGAGTAATTACGAATATCTATCATCTAATAACAAGAACAAACTACTTAGCATACAAAGACAAATGAATTAATAATAGTCTTTTAGCCTAAAGTAATCATTTGTCGAATGTTTCTATTTTGTTGCAGGAGCAATATTTTAATGTAGACTGAATCTATAAAAAAACTTAAGACATTTTTTATTGAAGTATCGAAACAAATATTCAATATTTCTTAAAAGAAAATATTGATATTATATTTTTTTTCAATATTTCAATCGATTATTCTTCTTGGTTTTTTTCTAAAAAATTAGAATGCATCATAAAATGTTGTCATATTTTACCTTATTTAGTTCTTTACAAAAGTCAGTGTAATCATTTATACGACGTAAATTACTTAAGAAATAAAATTCTAATAATTTTGAAAAATCATCATCTTATAAATATTGATTCATAGTTCATACTGATCAAACTATTTTTTGTATTCAATATTTTGAGCACATTCATAAATACTCATAAACAAAAATCTATCTTCATCACGAGATATTTCAATAGAATCAATGACATATTTATGACCCTTTTGATTTCATTGTTGTCCATGACCTATTTTAAGCAATACTTAAATATCACATTCAGAAATCATCAAAACAATGAAAAAAATAGAAAATTTTTTAAAATACATTATAAAAAGGTATACTATATAATGTTATTTAAAAACAAAGTTAATTCATTGATACAATATAGATAGAAAAATCCTTCTAGGCTCTTTGTTTATAAATATTAGAAACGGATATTTGTATTACAAAGTAAATCAGAAAATATATATTTTTAGTCTAACAATTGTAATTTCGATAAAATTTTGACACAATTTTCTAATATAAAAAAATCTATGTCATCTTTTATCACCAGTTCCTATAATGACTTAAATAAGTTGAATAAGAACATCGGACAAAAAGAAATATTTATCGAAAAGATTAAATAGGAGTAAACTTGATATTCAGAGTTGTACATTTCGTTCATATGAAGAATAAGATAAAATCTCTTTTACATTATAAAAATTATTAACAATCATTTGATAGACTTCATTAAATAAATTTTCATGCCTTAATCATTGTTTACTAATGTCAATTATCAAGAGCTCAAATTTAAATCCAACTTTTGTCTATTTTTTGTTTTCTTTGTATAATTTAGATATTTTTCTGATGAAATGACTGGAATTAATACATATGATAATAAAACATTTACAGATGAATTTAACAATGTTTCATCTCTGATTCGCATTATTGTTCTAGCAATAATTATGTTTAGTCTTTCTTTTATTACTGTTTTTGGCAATACAATTGTTATCTATGCTTTACGAACCAATCGTCATTTAAGAACGGTAATATAATCGATTTTTCCAAGAAATTATTGAAATTTAATGAGATAATTCAAATCAATCATTGTATAAGAATATTGAATATTCTTGCGTTGAAGAACAAAAAATTAAGTCTTATCAAATTTTTTTTTCGAGTTTCTTTAAGTCGAATCAAAATGAAATGTTATTTTAACCTTTTAATCTATATTTCTGAAAATATTAGAGTCATTGTAACCTTTTTTTTCTAAATCGTTTTCATTCTGTGTATGTTTATGAAAGGGTTCATTCAAATGAATATTCTTATGAAAGAAAAACAGTCACATCAAATAGTAAAGATTTTTATACATGGAATAACAAACAAAAAGCCTTTAGAAATTATTCCATCGTTAAGAGTCTATGATGTTAAAATACAAAAATAATATAATTTTTCGTGGGAAAAAAGAACCTTGTAGAACAATTTTTATTATTATATAAAATTGAAAAATATAAAGCTCTATGGTTTTATAATGATAAGAACTAAAACTCATATCTATCATAGACTATTATAATGTTTAAATAGGAATTATAAATTTTATTTTGTTTTGTAGAATAAATAACGATGAAAAACCTAATTCTTTTAAGTTTTCATTGTAAAGAAACTATATCAAGCTAATCAGATGACATGTAATTGTTTAGTTCTATAAAACTAGAAAATAATCTTATAAAGACCAGGTATTCATCTTCATAAAGTCCAGTGAAATATATGATAAAATGTTCTCAATATTGTTCTTAAAAAGTATTAATCATGTTCTCTAATATGTATTCAACAACACTAATAATCAGATTATCTTATTCTACATTTCTTTTGTGACATTGTTGAAAAACAAGTTTAATCTGTTACAAAAAAGGAGCTAAATAAAAACATTTGCTTATAATGTTCTTTTTCCCTTGCTTTTTGTAATTGTGTGACAATGTTTATAAATATAAAAGAATTTATTTCTATTATAAAATTATCAAGAATAAATAAGAAAAAAAGCATTTTCAAAATTATTTTACTAAAATAATCATTGATAAAAACAATACAAATACTTTCGTTGTATTTAGAACAAATTAATAATTTTCTAATTGCAAAAATATGTCTTAATTTGACAAAAATTATATTCATCGACAAATAATTTTTTTCTATTCTAATAAACATCAGACTTGGCAGGAAAAAGGATCCTATTTTTTGTAACGTAAAATACATGATAGACTAAAAATAAACATATCAAACGTGCAGTTACTTTTTTTTATGTTAGGAATTTATATATACATATGACATTCACTTAAACAAATAAATAAATCGGCTATTGTTGATGTTTGTGTTATACTATTCAAGTTTTTTCACTTTCTCTTATCATCAATTTTTTGTATCTTCATTCATTCAGCAAATTCATATATACACATAAGTCAGGTCTTCAGAATACATTGTATATAGAATTTTTTTGAGTATTAATTATCTAAAATACCTGATTGATGTTATGATGAGTCCATGAAATGAATGAATTCAATTAAACAAGCTTTTTAAAAAAATCTTATTAAGAGACAGAAGACGAACGGAAATTGACATCTTTGCAATATAAACATAGTTAGTTTAGTCGTATGTATACCTTATTAGTCTATAATAAACGATCACATGTTCGCAACAATATCAAATAAAACTAATGAACAAATCCAACAAAAAGAAAAATACTAAAAAAAATGTCTCTGTATTTTTTTCTTGTGTTTTCTTTAATTTATGACCTTTACAAAGCTTAATTTACAATGGACGAGTATTTTACATTCATATTCATGCATAATTCAATAATTCATTGTTATTCAGCTGATTTTTTTTTATCAGAGTAGACTTCATGTTTCTTTGAAGTTTTATAATTGATATCTATTTTTTGTCCCATTATAGTCTGATAAACTAAACTTCATTATATACCATCATCGCAAATGTCTCACTCGGAAAATCTTTTTCCTTATATCTTTCATCCAAAAATTTATCTAACAGACTGTAAATATCATGGTGACACGGTTGCTCTAAAAAAAAGGAAACACCTAAGACATGCATATTACGAATATGTGTCATCATAACAAACTTTGTTTGGTATAAAGTGGCGATATTTCAATATCTTTATATTCATATCGAATTTCGAAAGGTACACTGGAAACGATCGCCTCTTCCTGCCAAAAACTTGTTTCAATGTTGTTCAGTAGAAAAAATTCAAAACTGATCTGATATTATCTCTGAAAAGCTTAAAATCACATTTTTTTTACTATCATCACGCCTTTTTCCATCGAACCGTGCACATTTATCAAACTACTAGATTAACGACTACTTTATATTATGTTAGAAAACTGCTAGAAGAATAACATCAACATATTAAATATCATCCAAAAATACTGCAATAGACAATATCATGTCAGTTATCGTCGGAATTTTTTGTTTCGTCATTTTTTTTTCTTTTAAGTTTTGCTATTACTCTCTTTATTCTATCATTGCCGACATTTTCTCATTCATTAAGAAAGGCAAGTTTCTCTCATTCTGTTCTCTGTCGTTTTCTCCTTTTCTTTCTTCCGATGTCGCTATCAACAATGATATAGAAAGAGTTGTATCATTAGCCTTTTGCGACTTTCATTCAATGAACAAAATGAAATTAGTTAGTTTAAATTATATCATCTGTTACTTCTCCCTTTTTTCTATTCCATGAGCGGTATTGACGAGTTTATTTTTGGTGAAGAACAACAACAACAACAGAGTACAAATTCTCTTTGTTCTTCGGATGCTCTTTCAATTGGTATGACAAATATGTCAGAAATTAGTCTGAATAATATAACATATAGAAATCGAAACAACAATACACATTATTTAATAAATGACTTTAAATCGACATCGTTAGCATATACAATTATTTTTGGTTTCGTTTGTGCTTTCCTTTGTTTTTTAACAATTACTGGTAATTTACTCGTACTCATTACATTTCGTCGTATGAGAACTGTGAGTACTAGCAAATTTTTATTTATAATAAGCGTACTTAGAAAATTTAATTAAGTGACTGACTAATTAGTTAATAAAAAATTTTTATATGTATTAACAAACTGCAGAATAAAAAAACAAACAAGAGTTCATTTGATGGAATTGATCAAGATTTAAGCTATTGATGCATGAACACTATGTTATATGATAATTAAATCGATGTTACTTTTATTTAATAAAAGTATTTGTTTATTTATTTAGCGTTAGTAAGTTAGAAAATATTTATATGAAAATCAATATACGAAACATATAAGAAATGAACATGATGAAAATAAAACATCTTATAAATGTAATGCACTATATTTTATTAAGTATATTAAAAAAAGAAATAAGTGTAAATTAGAAGAAAATAGAGGAAAAAAGTGTCAGGTTATATTAAATGATGACTGATTGAATATAGTGAGGAAAAACCAGATTTATAATTAATGTATCACGCTATCATGATAAATTTGTATTATCTTGTGTTAGCTATTTAAGTACATGTCAATAAAAATATAAATACATAATAACAAAGGATTTATGAAATTCTAAATACAATTCTAATAGTAATTGAGTTTTTAAAATTTCGTTTATTTAATTTAGATCTATTTATATATTTTTGTTTTATTTAGGTTGGAAATCTGTTTATATTGAGTCTTGCTACGGCTGATCTAATTGTTGGTTGTTTTGTCATGCCCATAGCTGGTATATATGCTATAATAGAAAAATGGAAAATGGGTAAATTCTTTTCTTCTCTTTCACCCTCATATAAATTGTTGATGTACTTTAATTTATTAAATCATTTCTTTTTTTTTGATTAAGCATAACAATTAATCTAAGATATTTACAATAGATCTCAAAAGAACAAGAAAATATATTCTAATCTATTTATAAATTTTAAATTAATATAATATTAAAAAAAAAAATGTTATAATAATTAAAAAGAAATGCAAGACGAATAATATGAGCGTGTTTTCTAAATGACTTGCAATCAAAGCTGTTTGTATTCTTTGAATCTATAAATTATAAAGCAAAGAAATTTTCAAGATGAAAAGCATGTTTTTTGTTGCTATTGAAGCATCAAATAAATAGGAACAAAGTGATCTTCATGTCATTATGGGGTTTATTCTATTGAATAGATTTATGAATAGCATGATAAATATATTGAATAGATATTAAAATAAGATGAATTAGGTTAATTAGATAAACAACCTATATTATAAGAGAAAAAACTCACATTGTTTTATTTATACTTATTTATTTTTATCATCCTCAAAAAAAAAAATTAAACTAAATTAACAGAATTTGTAAATCATTAGAGAAAAAAATTATATTATTATTATTTTTTTTTTCTTCTTTTTAAGGTCTCGTTCTTTGTAAAATTTGGATATCTGTGGATTTTATAGCATCAACAGCATCTATATTTAATTTATTAACATTAAGTTTAGATCGTTACTGGTCTATAACATCTCCACTTCAATATCTTGGTAAACGAACACGTACACGAGCTTTATTATTAATTGGTTTTGCTTGGGGTTTATCACTTCTATGGGTGATACCAATTTTTAGTTGGCATCATTTTAATAAAACAAAACGATATATTGACGTATGATATTATTAATTTAATTTTTTTGTTTTTAAGACAAAATCTAATCTTCTTTTAGCCAAATAAATGTGAACCTGAATATACACATTCAAAAGTATTTAAAGTTTCAACAGCTGTGCTTAATTTTTATTTACCACTTCTTGTATTAATATTATTAAATGGTCGTATTTATTATGAAATAAAACGTCGTTATAAAAATGTTCTTTTACAAAGACATTCAAATAGCATGAATAATTTAATGATGAATAATAATCATAATAATAATAATAATAATAATTTATATAATCATAAATTAAATTATAAAAGACAAAATTCATGTTCACCAGCAACTGTAACATTTGGTGATAGTGATCGACATATGTATTCTTCAACAATAAATTATACAGAAAATGATGGTCACGTTATGTCAAAACTTTCATCTAGATCTTTAACAAATAATAATGAATCAGTTTTACGGATTAATTTTAAAGAGAAAAAGAATCGACCATGTATACCAGTACGATTAGTTGATCATTCAAAAACATCATTAAAACGTGCTTATTCGTATATTGATAAAAATCATTGTGAACAAGTAATCAAACAAAAAAAAAAACCACAACAATTCAATTTATTTATTTTTTATTTTTCTATTTATTTTTTCTTTCATTCAGGATGAATTAACATGGTTTATACATCGTCGTGAACATTCTCATTCATCATTTACTCCGATGTCACCAAAAATTTTATCAAACTATAAATATAATCATAGTCGTTCTCATCATCTTGGTTTAAATGAACATTTATTTAACCAGACTAATGATTACAATTCAAATCGAACGGATTTAAATAAACGAAAAATAAAACGTAATTCATCGAAATCATTATCATTATATAATAATCATCCTTATCAAACATCATTTCATAATACAACATTGTTACATCGTCATAATTCATTATTAGATTCAATAAAAATTTCACCTCCATCAACAACAATGAATATTTTTAATTTATGTCATTGTTATTCAGCAACTACATCAACGATTACAATACATTCAAATTCATTTGTAAATAATCATAAGAATTCAAATCATGAATCATATAATCAAGGACGACAAATTTCAACATCATCATTATCATCTGTTCTTCGTTCATCAATAAAACGAAATCAACAACAATCACAATCGATATTATCTTTAAAAAGAACAACAAATAGTATAACATCACATATAAATCCACATTCAATATCTCAATATCATCATTATCGAACAACAAATGGTGTTAAACAAACAACAGTATGGAATCAACAAGAAAAAGCTTTTCGACAATTATTTGCAATTGTATTTGGTTTTACATGTTGTTTTTTACCATATTTTATTTTATATATGGTAGTTGCTTTTTGTGGTTCATGTGTATCAGAACGAGTTGTTACAGCTACTATATGGCTTGGTTATGTTAACTCAACAATTAATCCATTTTTATATGCATTATCAAATAAACATTTTCGAAGAACATTTAATCGATTATTGAAACGAGATAATCGATTACAATCGTATTATAATTAATAAATCAAATACTAAATGTCATCAACTAATTATCTATTTTTTTTTCATGAATATGAAATATATTTTTGTACTTCAGTGATATGAATGTTGGATTGATTCAATAATTTTTTTTTTGTTTTTCTAGAAAAATAAATTAAAAAAATATCAAACGAACATTCAACGAGAATTCATGTCATGAATAACTTTACAGGCAAAAAAACTATCAAAGTATGAATAGGTTGCTTATAAAAATATTTTTAATAAATGAAGATATATATATATCATTTGACATGAAAAATTTCGATAATAATAATAATAAAGCTCAGTTTTCTTCACTTATTCTTCTACAAATTCATGGAGATTATTCAGTGTTTGAAATATACAAAAAAATTATTAATTATCCGATTTTAATGTATAGTTTTAGATAATATATTTTATTCATCATTAACGGTAGTGGAATTGAGTACTCTCAAAAGCTGCCACATAATTCATCAAGAGTGTTCTCATTTCATGTAGGCTTAATTGACGTCCACATAAATAACAAAAATGAATACTTGTAGATTAGACCGGATGTTTGACAAAATTGTTTTCATTACTTATGATAAATTTTTATATACTTGAAAATGAAAAGAGTAAAATGTTAAATGAATAACTAAAAGCATGACTTCTATATGAGAGTAGTTCCGTGTTATATGTGTGGACAAGATTTGCTTTTACATTTGCTTTCATAAATTAATTGTCAAACTTGCATTTATACTTTATAGAATGTCACTATTTTCAAATGTTACCATTAGTAAAATAATGAAAAATAAGTGCATCATTATACAACATAAAATACTGACTCAATGACCTTGAATAGTTTTTATAAGCAAAATAAAAGAAAAACTAATTGTTCATAGCTTACAATGAAGATGTATCTGTGTTATCAGTTAATAAGATTAGATTTATTAGAATAAAACTAAAGCTCTCAAAACCAAACTAATCCATTTAAAATATAGGCTGGTCTTAGCATATTTACAGGAAGATATCCTAACTGATTATCTCGATAGTGCATATTCAAGAAACTTTGTGAAACTTATCAATCATGTTACGATTACATTAGTTTTGATGTCTTTTAAAACTAACTCAAATAATATCAAAACAAAAGAAAAACATGATGTGTATGGGAAGTGTTTAAATTTTAAATACATTTATGCGTTACATGATGATCTATGATACAAAGTTTCTATCACAACTATTCACGAAATTGCTGCTGAACCACAATTATTCGAAGTTTCGAAGTCATTTAAAGATAATTAGTTTAGTATTGTGTATACTCATGATATTCTCGAATTTGATGATGAGTGTGATGAAAATAAAGTGTGGGGACGTATGTGTGTGAATGCCAAGTGAGATTTGGGAATAGGATGGTATTGGTTTCAGTCTTCTCTTTACATTCACACCTTATTACTTGAATCGATTCATTGCTTCATTTCTTAAACAATATAAGTATGAATGAATACTGTCGAGATTTACTTGTTCTTTTTCATGATGCCAAAGTTTTTCAAGTACATTTGGATCGTTTTATCCATTTTACTCACTCTACTCTACCAACATCTAACAATCAACATGCATTGATAAGCAGTTTCTCGAATGGGATGCGTGGTTATATCTAGTAGTGACAACGATTTTTCTTGAAAAATGTAGAAATGAAAGTCATTGTTGGATATCGCAACAAAGCAAGTAACCGGCTGCAATTGCTTTCCAATAAGGAACCGTAAAATGATTGAATTGTCAGTCAAAAACGAACAAGATTGAGATTTGCAAATCTTTTTCGGATAAGCAAACTGAATTTAGTATATGACAAAAACAAAATAAATCGATAAGACAAAGTTTCAATCGTCTAATGAACCGAAATCATTTTTCTTCAAGAAAGAATGGGAATCAGTAAAATTTTTTTTTAGGAGATCATGACTAAACATCATTTTTCAGTAGTTCGAGAGTTCTGCGATAGATCATTGAATGCACAAATTTAGACTAATTGAATGATTTTTTCCGAAGAGTTGGAAATTTAATTAAAATAAAAAGGTTTTTTTTCAAAAGACATCATTTTTCAGTCGTAGAAACCTATCGAATATACACAATGGAGAATACCTGAACATCAGTACTCACATTTCACTTCTGTCAAATATCTAAACTAAATATTAACCATTATTTTTCTCTGAAAGTCATCTTTTCAGTTCATAAAAATAATAATATTTTGAAGACTGTTCGCTATTTTAACATTTGTTAGTCATTTTTGAAAATTAAATATAACATTTTTTTCATTAAACTCTTGCAGGTCTCTAACTAAAGGAAAAACTTTTCTTGAATTTCAAATACTATATAAAAAGTCAATTTGATAGTTAACTGATATGTGTGATAAAGTGTAAAATCAGTATTTAGAAACGCTTTTCAAAGATTTAAAACACGAAAATTTATTATGACTTTACTTTTGTCAAAGAGGTGTCACGAATTTTCTTTTAAGTTTTCATCAATATCATAGAACATTGATTTCGACAAACTGATAACTACATTCTTAAATGAGATTGAAATTAAATCGAAAAGGCTTTGTCTGTGAACAAAATCATCAGATAATATTAAAATCTATTACCTTTGCGCTAGTTTTGTGACCGATCATTCTTCTGTATGTAAAACGCATGCGTTTATACTAATTTTGGGACGCTTTTCATTAGACTCTGAGCGTAAAAATGTGTGACACTATAAATATCTAACAAATTATTTATTCAAAAATAAAAGCATTGACAAGATTTTCTTCTATGATCTAAAAATATTTTATACATTTCATGTGTGATGTAATAAGTTACAAGATCTGAAGTGAAATAATTTTATTATAGAAGCTGAAACATGAAATAGTACTATAGTAAAAGGTTGAAATATTTCCAGATCGGTTCTCTCGAATAAGTTAATATTTTTGGTGAGTGGAAGAAACTTATTCAAATTTTTCTAATAAGGATAATGCGAAAAATAATTGTACTATCAAATTATATTTTTTACCTCACTAAAGACAAATTTAACTATTATTAAGTAAGAAAAAAACACATCAAGTGTTTCATAGATCATTTTTAATTGTCATCTAAGAGAATAATAAGAAATCAAAAGAAGAAAAACTTAATAGATGATACTATATTGATGTACTCTGTGCAAGTTTTCAAAACCAGTCAGTTTCAATGTTGAAGTTCGTGTCTCATGACCAAAATACAGAACTGCAAAGATTTTGACACCACAATATTTATTTCTATGCAAAAATCAGTGTTTAATGTTTGAAAATTCGAAATTATGTAACCGTTGACTTTTAGACTAATAAGTTCTGCAAACTTGCTCTATGTGCATCAATATAGTTTCGTATACAAAGGTCGTTTTTATTCTAGACGTGAGTATAGGTTGATGAAGTAGTTTTTTTCACTCACATTCATCTATATCTTCTTATATCTTTCATTTTTCTTCGTAGCTTGGGTGAAAACGATAATAACTAAGATTGAAATAGCTCGTTCGTAAACGATCGTGTATGACAAAATACGGCAAACTAATAAGATAACCGTATACGACAACATACGTTTCCAGTTTCATTACTGTTTACCATGAACGTGAACAGCGACTCTGCACGACTGTGGTAGACGATTGTACATGATCGTAACTTAGTCATGAGTTGTGATATTCATCTCGAACATGTCTTACTTTTGAATCTAATCTCAAATCCAATGGACATTTTTGAATTTGAAATAGTAGATTATACTTGTCATTATTTAGACTTAGTCCAACGGCAGATCCATTCATGAATATTCATTTAAAAAAATGAACTGTATTGTTTCATGAAAATTTGTCACGACAACAACCTCTAGAATAAATATTAGTTAATAAAATAAAATTTAATAACAATTATCTAAAAAAATTAATTAATAAATCTTTTCATTTCGATTTATTTCAAAGACAGATTCGATTGTATTTATTTGAAAAATTAAACTATATAGTTTTTATTCAGCTAAATAAAACCAACGTCGTTTACTTTTTTTAAATAAATACTTACGATTTCATCCGTTGTCGGAATAAATCTCAAAAAAATTATTTATGTATTTATTCAAATAATTGTTGTCTTTTGTTTATCAAAAAGACGAAATAAGAGAACGTTGCTGTCATCTCCACTGACCAGAATATTATGTGATTACAATGGTATATGAAGTCATATAGAATAATGTACGATGGTTTACGCTGACTGTATACGTATTGTATTTTCGTCCTTTACGACACGATGATATAAGGTCGTAATTCTGGGATCACGTAATGAGATGAAATACGATCGTAAACAGTCGTACTTTACATTGTGTACAACTATACACAATTGCATATCATGTCGTATTCAACAAATTACAATTGTCGTAATGCTCGTCCTGGGAAAACACGTTATATTATTTTATGGGCTATCGAATTATTGATGAAACAAAAGGAAATAAAAACATATCGGGAGAGTAGCATTGAAACATGTTTAGTCAAAGTTTTCTTTTGGCAAACCACTGTAATTTGAGCTTTCGTCTAAACGAAATACTATAGATCTTTACTTTATCCAATAAACTTACGACAGTCTACTGATATTAATTACCTCTACGATCATTTTTTACGTGATTGTTTATACATTTTTTAAATCTGAATATTTTACCATATCCTTTACTCACGGCCTTTCATATTGTATACACATGATTCTATTGCTGAACACAAACCAATAAAATTATTTATGTATTTATGACTGTTTTTCTTTGATATTAATATTTCAATTGTATTTTACAAACTTGACAGAAAATGAGAGAAACCAAATGAGTGAAATCTAGTGCATGATGTCCAAGCAAAAATTAGATGAAAAGAATACTAACTACCGATCATCTTTTGGAAAACAGAATTAGTCAAAGAGTATGTACTGTTTGGACGAAACGCAATGAGACGAATGAATATGCTATTGAATACATCAAAGACTTTAGACAAAAAGAGGA